TTACATACAATAAATGTCACCAGTGTGAAGCAATTTAACGGATCTTGACAAAGGTACACAACTGTGTGGCACCATCACAATCATGATACAGGACATCTCTGTCCCCACAGCAAGAACCTTTTGCCTCCCACCCCAGCTGGTCTCTTCTCATCCCCAACCAAGACAATCCTGATTTCGTTCTATGATTGCTTTGCCTTTCCTGGAATTTCATATGAATGGAATAACGTGGTGGATGGCCTTTCATATCTGGATTCCTTACTTAGCAGATGGTGCTGAGATTCACCCATGCTGGAGCGTGTGTTAGTGGCTTGATCCTTTTCACTGTTGAGTGACATTCTATTCTATGGATATGTTGCAACTCATGTATTCATTCACCATGGGATGGACATCTGGGTCTTTCCCAGTTTGGGGTTATTGAGGATAAACCTGCCATGAGCATGCACAACAGATATTTTCATGTCTTTGAGGTAAATGCCCAGGCGTCTGTTGCTGATTTGTGTGGTAGATGCATGTTTCATTTTGTAAGAGACAACTGTCTTGTCTCCTCAGAGGGGCTGTGTCATCTTACATTCCTGCCACCAAAGCATGAACGCTCCAATTATACCACACCTTCAGCCATGCTTCCTGTCTACTTTCATTTTAGCCACTCTAGTGGGTGTGGGATAGTATCTCATTGTGGTTTTAATTTGCATTTCCCTAATGATTAATGATGTTGGACGTCTTTTTGTGTGTGTATTTGTCACTGATATATTTTCTTCGGTGGATTGCCTGCTTATCTTTTTTTTTTTTGAGCTGGAGTCTCACTCTGTCGCCTAGGCTGGAGTGCAGTGGCACGCTCACAGCCACCGCAACCTCGAGCTGCTGGGTTTACGTGTTCCTTCTGCCTCAGTCTTCCAAGACCAGGCATTGGATTGCCTGAGCCTGGTAGTTTGAGACCAGCCTGGGCAACTTGGTGAGAGCTTGTCTCTACTATAAATCACAAAAATTAGCCGGGCGTGATGCACACCACCATGCCCGGTTAATTTTTGTGATTTATTATAGAGACAAGGTCTCACCAAGTTGCCCAGGTTGTTCTCAAACTACCAGGCTCAGGCAATACAACGCCTCAGCCTCCCAAAGTACTGGGATTACAGAGTGAGCCACCTTGCCCGGCAGAGTTGTTTATCTTTTTGATATTGAGTTGTAAGAATTCTTCATATAATCTAGGTACAACCTATTATCAGATATAAGTTCAAGAATATTGTTTTCCATTCAATGTTTTTTTTTTTTAATTCTCTTGTCTTTCAAAGAGCATCATTTAAAAATTCTGATCAAGTGGAGTTTATCACTTTTTTTTTAACAGTTCATTCTTTTTGCAATTTATTTAAGAAACTTCTTCCCCTATTGAGAAAATACCCAGAGGAACTCAAATCATTCTACAAAAAAGATACCTGCACACGTATGTTTGTTGCAGCTCTAGTCACAATAGCAAAACATGGAACCAACTGTGTTGCCCATTGAAGCTGGACTGGATTTTTAAAAATGTGGTAAATATACATAGTGGAATATTATGCAGCCATAAAGAAGGACAAACATATGGATTTTGCAGCAACTTGAATGGGTTCAGAGTCAATCATACTCAGTGATCTATCACAGAAACAAAGAACAGAGTACCATATGTTCTCACTCATAAGCGGACCTTGAACAATTATAATACTATAAGAAACTGATTGACAGTAGTGGGAAACTGTCAGTGGTGGGGGGTAGGATTGCCAGTTGAGGGAAACTGCTAGGGGAGGGAGGGGCACACCTTATCAACAAGGGTACTTGCATAATCAACATTTGTATACCTAACCCTGAATTGTACCCCACATCTTTATACTAAAAAAAAGAAACTTCTACCTCCAAGATCACAAATATTTTCTCCTATATTTTCTCCTAGATGTTTTATGTTTTATCCCTCACATTTAGACCGACAATCCATTTGAACTAATGTTTGCATATGGTGTGAGGTAAGGAGTAGGGATCAACTTTTTATACATAAATACCCAGTTTTTCTAGCATCATGTATTGAAATGATGGCTCTGCCCCTCACTGAATTGCCTTGGCAGCTCAGTTAAAATCGATCGACCATTGATAGGAGGGTCTATTTCTGGGCTGTGCTGTGTTCCACTGGCTTATGTGTCTGTCCTTTCACCAACACCACATGGTTATTGCAGCATCTTTGTAAGTCTTGGAATCAGGTAGTGTGAGTCTTCCATTTTTTTTCTCCTTTTCAAAAATTGTTTGGGCTATTCTAAGTCCCTTGAATTTTTATATAAATTTTAGAATCAGCTTGTCAATTTCTACAAAAACCTTACCATAATTTTGATTTAGTTTCCGTTGTCACCATAGATCAATGTGGGAAGAACTGACATCAAATTGAATCACTTAATCCTGAATATGATAAATATCTCCATTAATTTAGGTCTTATTTAACTGCGCTCAATGATGTTTTAAAGTTTTCAGCATATAAATCTTGTATACATTTTTCTACCATTTAATTTCATAGATATATTTCCAAATATATATTTATAAATACATATATACTTTTTCAAATGTTGCTAGGATTCAGAATTATGCTTGATTTGTGTGTATGGACATTGCCTAATCTGGTGGTAATCTCAATCAGTGTATTTTTCATTTTACATATTTTATATTTCAAATCTCCTTCCTCTGCTGCTTGGAAAAGACTTTTGCAGTCAATTGGGGGTTTGCAGAGCACATATCATTTCTCACTTCATTTGTTCTATTCCTGCCTGCGGCCATAATCCTGTGATGACTAGTGCCCGATGCCTGAAGACCAGTATTATATTTTGTAGGCTTTTTTGGTGCTTAATGCAGTAGGGTACCTTGGGCCTAGTGACTCCATGTCTGGAAGCTGAAGTCTTGCATTTGTATTTGGATTACTATGCTATTTACACGATAGTCGTGCCTTTCCAACACAGGGGTCTACATTATGTTTCTTCTGTATGTTCTAAAGCATCCACTATATACCTGCAGGTGGCTGCATGGGAGCAGAGGTGACTTCGCACCTTCCTCGAATCTTGTGATCAAGACAGTGACAGGGAGGCCGCAAGAATCAACCTCCACGTTATGACTCCAGGCGTCAGGGAAGGAATGGGGCTGAGGAGGCAACAAAATGAAAATCAGAACATGCAAGACGCATGTTCAGAAATAATGCAGAGTGAGCTTGGTGCCATCTGCAGGTATACAGTGGGTGCTTTAGAGCATACAGAAGAAACATAATGTAGACCCCTGTGTTGGGAAGGCATGTTATGGGAGACAATCAAGTCAATAGCATAGCAATCCAAAATGTCGGCACCACTGTTGACTCTGAAACTGGGGCCCGATAGAGCACTGTGCCACGCATGTGGAGGAAGGTCTGTCTCCTCCACCTGCTCTATCTCCTCCACCTCCTCTACCTTCCCTACTTTCTCCACCTGCTCTCCCCGCACACCTGAGCTACACTTCCTCTTTTGCTCTCCCCTGGTCCTGCCAGACCACCTGCTGTGGGAGTGGAATGAAGAGGAAGACACGTATGAGCGGTTTTAAGCGCAGTTCACAAGACTATCAGAGAATTCTGGGCCATGGATTTTGCTGGGGGTCATGGGAGAGTTAAGGAGGGAGGATGATAATCAGTGCAGTACTGAGAAGAGTGAGGCTGAGAACAGCAAAGGATTCTTCTTCCTTTCTCTCTGGCCTGTCTCCAATGGTGGATTCAAGCCCTCCACCCACAGGCCCCCCGCAAAGGCTGTGGCTTCCCAGGGAATGCCTGGCCTCCTGGGGACTCCTCTAGCCAGGCCCATGGGCCGCCCCCTGGGCATTCCCGGCACATCACTGGGAATTTGTCATTTGGTGACAAGCCGGATGACCAGTCCGCAGGTCTCTCCGCTGTTCCACAAATGCTCGGTGCTCATGCCTCTTGACTGCTTCTCAACCAGAGCTGAGCTGGTAGTATGGGAAGTGGCCCTTCTCTGTCCTTCATTTGCCCGCAGCCCACCCATTCTTTGAGGACCCTGGCTGGAGCCTCCTCCTCCATAAAGCCTTTCTTGACTATGCTGGCCCGGACTTGCTTCCTGGCTCTTGGATTGCTGATGGTGATGATCTGCCCATGCAGATCATTGCTTGGTGAATTAAGGTGTCAACTCGTGCCCATTCCTGGCAACTGCTTTTTTTTTTAAGTTTTTCTTGAGAGTGTTCTCATATTCAAACTTTAGGAAGTTCTACTTGGATTCTCACATGCCCACACCAGACAAGAATCACTGAAGTACACTGTAAACTACTTAAAGTCCTGGACTATGAATAATAAGTTTCCCATACATATTAACATTTCTATAGATTTTGTTCAGTAGAATCTTACTGAATGTATTCAAATTGAATCTTGCACGAAGATTTTTTTCTGTGCAGATCAAAGCTCATGGCTTTACTGATAGCATCCTTCTTTCAACTACAGATTAAGGATTGCAGATCACAGCCTCAGGTGAGCCAAGTCTGGCCAGGCCCCGCACTATGTAATGGTCTCCAGCTGCTTCCATGCTGCACAGGCACATGTGAGCAGCCGGTACAGAGATTGGATGGTTGACATGGCCTGAGAGAGTACTATTCAGCCCTCTACAGAAAGAGGTTGCTAATGCTTAGCTGAGGTGAATACGTCTCATGTCACAGAGATTGCTGTGCAACGCATGCCTGCATGCAGTGGAAGTCTGTCTGCATGACTGTTTGGTGTTCCAAGAGCACCTGTTCTAACCGTGTGCACTTTGCCTTCCCTTCTCCCCAGGTTCACGTCTCCTCTCTTGCTGTCCTTGCTGGTGAGTCGGAGGGGTTGGACATCTGCATTCCTGTTTCTATAACAGGCCTGCAGCTTTGCCCAGGTCAAGAACCACGATGGAGAAGGTGAGCTTTTTTATAACTGTGGTGAACATGGCTCCTTGAGAATTGCATGACAACCAATTCTATCTTTGATTACTTTCCAGGAACCGATGAATTCCAGCAATGAGTATAGCTCAGGTGAAGATTATTTTGAGTCCGTCAACACCTCGTACAACCCATGGGACACCGAGAGCTTGCTGTGCTCCTTGCATGAGGTCAGACAGTTCTCCAAGCTGTTCGTGCCCGTTGCCTACTCCCTGATCTGCATCTTTGGCCTCCTGGGCAACGTGCTGGTGGTGATCACCTTTGCGTTTTACAAGAAGGCCAGGTCCATGACCGACGTCTATCTCTTGAACATGGCCATTGCCGACATCCTCTTCGTCCTCACGCTCCCATTCTGGGCAGTGAGCCACGCTACTGGCGCATGGATTTTCAGCAACGCCATGTGCAAACTGATCAGGGGCATCTACGCTGTCAACTTCAACTGCGGGATGCTGCTGCTGACCTGTATCAGCATGGACCGGTACGTCGCCATTGTGCAGGCCACCAAGTCCTTCCGGCTCCGGTCCAGAACGCTGCCTCACAGCAAGGTCATCTGTCTGGTGGTGTGGGCCGTGTCCGTCATCATCTCCAGCTCGACTTTCATCTTCAATCAGAAGTACCAAGTCCAAGACCGCGACGTCTGTGAGCCCAAGTACCAGGCGGTCCTGGAGCCCATCCGGTGGAAGCTGCTGATGCTGGCACTTGAGCTGCTCTTTGGCTTCTTTATCCCGTTGGTGTTCATGATGTTTTGCTACATGTTTATTGTCAAAGCCTTAGTGCAAGCACAGAATTCGAAACGGCACAGAGCCATCCGCGTGATCATCGCCGTGGTGCTGGTGTTCCTGGCTTGTCAGATTCCGCATAACATGGTCCTTCTTGTGACCGCTGCAAATCTGGGGAAGATGAACCGGTCCTGCCGCAGCGAGAAGCTGATTGGCTACACCAGAAACATCACGGAAGTCCTGGCCTTCCTCCACTGCTGCCTCAACCCCGTGCTCTATGCGTTTATTGGACAGAAGTTCAGAAATTACTTCCTGAAGATCATGCAGGACTTGTGGTGTGTGAGGAGGAGGCACAGGGCCCTGGGCCTCTCCTGCTCCCGGAAGTCCTCGGAGACCTTCGTCTCCAGGCCCACCAGTGAGACCGGGGAGAATGAGAATGCATCTTCCTTCACCATGTGACCTGCGGGCTGAGCGGCCCTAAATTGTGTGCAAAACACACTCATAGATGGCGTGAAAAAAAAAAAGCCCACAACCAAATATGCCTGGGAAATGAAATTAAGCAAAACCAAGCAGGGTTCGTATCTGCAGGGGTCAGGTACTTAATGCATTTATGGGCTGTGCTGGTTTCTGCAGGGGTGTTGGGTGGGCTCTGCTCAGGGTTGTTCCCAGTGTACTTGACAAGGAGTGCTTATGGCTCGGGGGTATAGATGGGGCTGACATTCCAAGAGACAGACCTGGGAAATGCCAGACTAAAGCAGATTGTTTACAGATGCTAAACTTTTTAGAAACATCCACCAAGCAGTCACAGACCATGCTGTCCTCTGGTTATAGCACAAAATGATAACATGGTTTGAAAAACCCAAACCAAAAAACCAAAACAAAACAAAAACCTGACAGAAGCCCTCACCTAATTATTTTGGGCAAATGTTAAACATTGTATCCACCAATATGTCTGTCATCGCTAATTGTAAGTAGAAAAGTAACCAGACTGGCGGTTCATCTCATTTCCCTTCCACACTCAACAAGCAAGAAATTGTAAGACAGCAGAAGAAGGAAGCTCCAGTGTTTACAACCTGGAAAAACTTCATAGGACAGGGAAGGAGGCCGGATGGTCATCAGTGACAATTGTCACCATGGATGAGCTAGTTCAGGTTGGAAAAGGCCATCAGGATAGGATGCTTGCTTCTGTTTCCCTGTGGAGCTGTTCTCTGTAATTAGTAACTCTTCTCTGAAAGCCTGTTAGGCTGAGACTTCTAGAAACACAGGATCTGTAATGATCTCGGTCATGGTTGCGTTCGGGGTGCCTACGGAGTTTCAGCATGCAAGGGGGGCTTCAGGAATATTTGTTTAACGAGTCATAATGAAATCAGTCTTTATTGTGCAGCTTAAGGCGTTAGGTTTTAAAAATAGGAATAGAATTTTTTTTTTTAAAGAAGGCAATTTCACTGAGACAATATAGAAAGAATGTGTGCTCCGTTTACATAATGTGGTTGAAAAACAATGTGGAACTGAGGACTTTGGTTATGAGGCGCTTCAATTAGCTAGTGTAGAGCTGGAATTCCGTTGGCTTCTAATAATGGTGTTAAAGCTGACTGCGGGTGTGTGACGGAATCAAATTTTAACTCTCTTCAAGTTCATAGAACTCAAGTTTAAAAAGTGCAGTGTAAATGCATGAATGTAAGTGGGAGAATACTAGCTTGTGTTACCAAAATACAAACATGTGTTAGGGAAATACTGACATGCACTGCACAAATATTGACATGTTTAATCCTGACAAATGTGTCCTTTGAAATGTTGTATTGTTCTTGTCAGTTTTGGCTATGTCCATCTGTATAATGCAAAGTGATGTCTTAAGATTCCAAGTTTGTGTTTTGAAAGCACGGGTCTGGCTTTGCAAAATAAAATTTGTGTTCTGTACTTGAAGTAGGAATTGTCTTTCAGCTTCAAGGTTCACATCGAGGCATCCCCAGACCAGAGAGCAGGTTCTCAAGGGTATCCCAAGTCCTTTAGGTCAGTCAACTCATGGCTCCAGAAGCCACAGCAAAGGACACCTTCCCCGGTCACTTCATTCAGGATGACCTGCGTGCTGATGGGGTCCATGCAGATGCGTTTCACACGTGAGCACTGCACAAACATGCCTTGCTCATGTGCCAGCAGTGGGTGTGAGCTGCTTGGTAGGATGTAGGTGTTCAGATGAACAGCACTGATGTCCTTTGGCAACTGCAGGTGCTTCAGCTGTGAGGCATAAATATGTTTCCAGAACATGCTACATGCTTCATTTCTTCTTAAACACAGACAGCACTTTTTCCTCAGTCTTGGGTGTATGGTGCTGCGCTGTGTTGACATCCCCCAGTGACACTGAGGTGGAGGGGATAGTGGCTCCATGCTGAGTGGTTGGGCTGTTCTTCCATGGTCTCGCGTGTCCTTTCCATCTGTGTCCCCATGTCTTCTCTCCCTGTCAGGCTCTGGCTGCCTCCTCCTGGACCCCAGCTGTGTTTGTTGTTAGTTCTCTCCGCGTGCTGCAGACATAGTAACGGTGCACTAGAAGATTAGTACTAGCATGTTGGAAGATTAGTATTAGTGTACTGGAAGATTAGTACTAGTGTGCTAGATGATTAGTACTGGCGTACTTGAAGATTAGTACTAGCACACTAGATGATTAGTACACTGGAAAATGAGTTTGCCAGGGCTGCCTCAGCCAAGGGCTGCAGGCTAAGCAGCCTGAACCACTGACCATTTCTCATGCCCGAGGCTGGTGATTGGAGACTGACGCATTAGCAGTTCAATTTCTCCTGAGGTCTTGAAGGGCTTTTCCTCCTTGAGCTTAAACTTGTTACAAAACCCCTGGGAAGGCTGGCGAGAGCTCCCCAAAAGTCTCACTTTAACACCATCTTTAAAGGCCCTGTCTCTAAATACAGTCTCGTACTGAGATACGGGGGCTAGGACTTCCACTCAGGGGCACACTTCAGCCCACAGCATCTGGCTTCCTAAGGGAGAGCAACTTTCACACCAACGTTAATCTCAGACTCTTGAGACTTCGTTTCTATAGTTTCCTCGTCTCTAGTAAGTTACATTCCAAATATTCATTCCCGTTTCAGATTTTTGGATGCGTGTCCCACAGAAAGATGACAGTGGACCTGTGGTCCTGGGTGAGGCCATGCTTACCCATTTAACTGCACACAGTTGAGCCCCAGCACCTGGCGCCAGCCACATGGAGTACTGTCTTGAGAAGTCCAGTGGTAACCCTACTGCCTGGGGTCCCTGTCCTGAGGGCGGGCCATTTTCCCTTCCACCCTGCCCTGTGTTTCTCCACCCCCAGTTCTCCCACAGGGAAGTGGGGATTGCCTACCCTGGGTTGCTTCCATGTTCAAAGCAGAGATGTCCCTCTTTTCTCGGGGACCTCAGGATGGTGGCCATGACTGTGGAAGTGGGAAGCAGTTGTGATGGGGCTGTGAAGACTGGGCCCCTTTTCTGTCCACTTATTGTATAAGAAGACATTCAAGGTTGGTGACTTTAGGGAGCCTCTGTTGTCTTAGTCCCATTCCTGGGCAAACCCCGTCCCACATGGTGCTGAGAACGTGGCATTTACATTCACCGGGAAACTGTCGGGATCATCACAGCCACCCTCCTCCGCCTGTGCAGCTGCTCACTGTCTCTGTGCTCAGGAATTTGACAAATGAAGTGGCTGCAGTGTGCAGACAGAAGCCACCCTGCCTGGGCATGTTTGCAGTGCCCAGGGTGACCTGCTGTGACCTAATGTCTCATTCAGGACTTGGTGTACACTCTGCATACTTCAGAGTTGCATTTGCTAACATGACAGTTTTCCTGATCTTTATTTAGGTAAATCCATACGAGTGCTAAAGGCGAGGCCTGTGTCTTCTCTGCCCTTGGCTGAGTCCAGTAGACCCTCCAGGATGACCAACGGAGTGCCATCCTTCCCTGAGGCTGGCCTCAGGTTCAGGGTAGCTGCTTAGTCTGCCTGGCCTTTCCATTTCAGCTAAGAGGAAGATGGGGGAACAACTGGGCTCCTGCTCTTCAAGGCACATGTGGAAGTTGTGGCAATTGCTTCTGCTCCCAGCCTGGTGGCCTTGACTCAGTCCTGTGATCACAACCAGGTGAAAGGAGGTCTGGGACTCTCTTTGGGGGCAGCTGGGTCTCCATACATTTCATAACAACATACGGGAATCCTGGCACATGGCGTAAGAAGGGCAGGAGAGAGCCTGAGTAAACAGACGTCAGTGGAGGAAGAGCAGGCAGGTCAAGGAAGAGTGAGGGGTGATGCTCAGTGAGTAAGAGAACGGGGGAGGACTGGAGAGCTGCCTGCCGTCCTCTCCTCCTGTGCACACACAGGTGGCCTCCCTTCTCAGCCTCCTGGTGGTGCCGAGGCTCTCGGGCAGGAGTGCAGTGGACACTGTGGTAAGATGGCATCACCTGGACTTGCCCTGGATGTGTGCGCCTGCGGCTATGGCCTCTTCTCCCATATCCCAAGGACAGTCGCCACTGTATCCAGAATAGGTCCCCCATGTGAGAACAACATATGCAGAATCAGTGTTCACATTTTCATTAAGAAAGTGTCGCATGTCTCCTTGTGTTGGAAGATGAGCTGGAACCTTGGGCATCACATGACACTCTGGGGTCCTTTTCCTGAACCTGGAATATAAACAGATGAGCCGGGTGAGCTGGCGCCTCTCTCCATGCTAGTGGAGACACTCGAAGTGCTTTCCAAAGCCCCGGCTTCACAGACCCTGTGTCCAGGCCTGGCGTCCCCTCTGCCCGAGGATGGGGAGTTGCTGCCCCCTGGCGGTGAGCCGCCTCCCAGGGCCCATGCTGGGAGCTCTCCCCTTCTCTAATCCTCCAAGATTCCTAAGGACTCCTTTGTCTTAGGAGAAAATTTTTAAGTCTATTTAGGAAAAAAAAAATATATATATATATAATTAATAGAATCTTATACTATATCCTCTAAAAAAGGTATAGAATCTTTGGAAAAATCTGACTTCACTATTGCTGGAGTTAATTTTTTCCTTATTGCCTTTAATAGTCACACGTCAGTAGATTGCCTCTCTATTGTTATTATTTTTTGCCACGTGACTGTTTATATTCCAGTTTTTAGGTATTTGCTTATTTGTTTGAGGCATGGCATCTGTACATACAAGGGGGCACTCCCCAAAATTATCTTCTGGAGGGCGGGCCCCTTGCAGGACTGGCTTCTCCACTAGGTCAGTGTTCTAGGAGCCCGCTGGAATCCATGTACCTGCCAGCATTGTGAGAGGCTGCGTTCAGCTTCAGTGAATATTATTTTTAGGGATTCTTTCAATGCATTTACCGGTTTCATGATGGGTGACTTACATGAACAACCTGCCCATACTGCACTGAGTGTTTTGACCAAAAGCAGCATGACCCCTCTGCCCCACTCTCCCTAGTCACCTGATCTCACCCAGAGCAACTTTTGTGTTTGTTTG